TATATATAATGAAAGTCGACATCACAAAAACAATTCCATTATCATTATTATCATCTCCACCTTCATAACATGTATAAACGAACATTTTCCGATCAGGACCATGAAAAGACTGCATTATTCTAAATCTGTGTCCTTATCCACGCTGTCCATAAAAGATTTTTACCTTTATAGTCTGTCTTTGATAAACCATAACTAATTCGAACTTCTTATAAACTAATCGGTGAAATCCTACAAGAAGCAAACACAGCACATAACACTGATGTTAATTCAAAAACGTGATACAAATTAATCCATCTTATATAGAGCATGATAATTATGTTAGTACTGCCTGAGGCCGAAAAATTACGGAAGTTGGTCGTATAAGACGGTTGTTTTATTTCTTCCAAAGACTCGTATCAAAAAAGATGATTATTATTGCATATTATAGTCACGTATCTATCAAAACTCCTGTAAATATACATAGTCATTGTTAAGTTGTATTATATTATCTTCTCTGGACTGAGTGCTTTTCTAGGCATAGATAAGATGAACTGTAAGTTCATACTCTTCCAAATAAAATCTTCCTATTCCCGGAAGGAGGCCTATCATGAACACCTCCACCGAGGAGACGGAGGTAGCCATGGAGTAGGTCTTCGGCACCTCTTGTCTTAGCCAACAACTACTGCTTCCTATTGGCCTGTAAACTGCGGTTTGGAGAAAGAAACTATATGGAGGTCATCAAATTCCCAGCAACAGCAAATGCTTATATTATTTGTAATAAATAAAAAAGACGTCAGAATATATATATATATATAAATATAAGTTCAATTTTTAATAACAGAACTAGAATTTTATAGGTCTTGTACATCTATTTATCTTATTATGTTGACGACAGATTAAATTAAACAGGATATTACTTACGGTAGGCTGAAAAATACAAAATCTGAAAGTTTCATATTACGAAATATTTAATAAAGTTTGTGGTTTAATTTTTGTGTTTAATTTTTATATTTATCTATGATTTCTTTCCGCCTATGTAGTACTATTGTTTATCAATATCGTCATCATCTCTTATTTCTTATTCACTATGGATTGAATTAAACAGAACATTACATAGGCCGAAAAATACAAGCTTTGAAAGTTTCATATTACAGAAAATTTAATCAATATTGTGGATTCATTTTGGGTTTATCGTCATATTTTTTCATGATTTTTCTTCCCACGCATGTGATCACACAATGTGAGCCTTATATTTACTTAAATTTAATCAAGTTTGTGGATTCATTTTGGTGTTTATATTTTGTGCGATTTCTTTCCACGCATGTGATCATACAACTTGAGAATTATAGTTACTGAGTATTGGATTACCATCAACATCATCATCATCGTCATTATCATCATCATTATTATCATCATCATCATCACCAAATTGGTTCAGAATATAGATTTTTAATCGTATTATTATTTAATGTCTACAATGGTAATCAATAGAGTAAAAACCGGAATTATTTACAAACTAAACTTATTACATTATAAAGTCATAGAAATAACATCAAAATTCCGGACAATACTCGGGAACATCAAAAGAGAATAGAGACAGCCAAATGTATTACACGGATCAAGTATAATAATTTTGAACAATGCAATGCATTAGTGCAATTTAAATATTAACAGATACGGCGATACTTACCAATATCATTCTACGATTTATAGCGCGTCACGAAATATACAAATACACATAATCACTAATAAAATCAAGGACGAATCATACCACTGACCGTAACATTGACCACAAAACTAACAAAAACATTGACCACAGCCAAGCGCGTTGTTGCTGGTTACCTATCTACTCTGAATGAGCTGATTGAGTGCATATACCAACACATCCGCCAAACAGGTTAACATCTGATCGTTTTAATTTCAGTAAAAGGAAAATAATTGTTGTCAAGCAGCTGACGTGATAACAAGACCATAGGTAATTGGTTAGAGCACATAGGCATCAACAAATACGGTTTACTGGTTGGACAGAGCGTTGATAAAGCAATATTTTTCATCATCTTTACTGTTGTTGGAAATCTGATTTACCTAAAATAAGGACTATCGCGATTTCAATTCCCGAAAAAACGTATTCAGTTTTCTTTTAAGTTGAGTAAACTGTACCATTGGCGGATCAACAAATTCGAGAATGGGGTATAGGGAGGCACATTTACTGATGAAGGAAGCAGGCCACCTCAGTGCCTGCACCAGAACCAGAAATGGTACTCTTAGATTTAAATTTGAATATAATTTTCTTTCCCCCATTTTAAATTTTAAGTTTTTACTGACGAGAGCAAATGTGTGGTCGGGCGTCACTCAAAATATTTCGAAAGTGGTCCAGGGTGCGAAGCCCCAGAAAATGTGTACAATGTAAGGATTTCAAAGGCTTACTACTTTCACAAAGAGAGCGAATATCTTGGTAAAATTCACTACTGACAGCATATCTCCACCAACCTTATACATAAACCACTTAACAGAAGAGCCTAAGAGAGAAGCGTACGTACTCTTTACCCATTCTCAATTTGCTTGATCACCAACAATTCGTTTAATTTTCTTCTCAGTGGTTTAATAAAACAAAATACACGGTAAAGGTTTATTCAACATTTTACGGTCATTTTCATTAATAATAATAATAATAATAATAATAATAATAATAATAATAATAATAATAATGATGATGATGATGATGATGATGATGATGATGATGATGATGATGATAATAATAATAATAGATGGATTTATACGCAGATAAACGAGGTCTCTATGCGCTCGGGACTAGATGTTGCACTTTTTCAATAACTTTCTCCTCCACTGAGGGTCACATCATGTCCACTGCAGCCAGTAAACTGGCGCACTTTCATCTCTCCACGACAGGGGCCGAGTGAACCAGTACACCGGGGTAACCCCCTACTCATCTCGAAACATATATGTACTGGGTTCTTTAAATTGCACATGAGCATTTCTGTACACTGGGTCTACGGTTTATAGTCCTTATCCGAGAAGACTTGTTCCACCACTAGAACTATAGGAGCGAGCCAGCCGCGAACCGAATAAATAGAGGAGCAGGATATGGGATGGAAGTGCCATGTGCTTTAATCTTCAGTGGAGACAGAGAATCACTAGTATGGCTAAAGACTAAGATTAAGATATGTGGATTGCACAAAATAAAAGATGGTAAAACTAGAACGTTTCTAGCAAGGGATTGCAGAAATGAAAATAGGATTAATGATCAACAGAATAGAGCACTTCTGTATACATTTAAAATGGAACAAATATACACAAAATATCATCTTAGCAGCGTATAAATGCATGGTATTATGATGTATGTAGAAATGTAAAGATTTTATTATAACAAAATGAAAGGTAAAGGTAGGAGAATAACCCATAACTTGCAGCGTCATTGTGCTGAATTACATATGGGCGTGGTCCGTGACTCCCTAGCAGCCGTAAAGAGGCGCTTCTTGGTAGGTACTTGTTCACATCATTCCACAACGACAGAGGATGAAATGAGCCATAACATCGGGGTAACCCCTACTTCCGAAAGATGCAATGGGTTCTTTAAAGTGCACACGAGCCAGATGTATACACTGGACTTCCACTTTAAATCCTTATCCGAGAAGACTTGGTTCTACCAACCGAAACATGGGCGAGGAGCGGCTGGAACCAGCGCCGATGTTAAGGCTGTAGCTAGCGGCGCCCCTGCCTTACCGCTCGGCCACTCGACTCGGATATGATATTTATTAAAATGAGTTGGACGATGACGATTATGATGAAAAATGCATTAAAATTAATATTAATTTGAAGTAGTCATTAATTGGGAAGAAACATTTTCAGTTGGGTCCATCAAAACCTTGGTCTCTAATTAGAGGGAGTCTTTAATTGGAGGGAGCAGTTAATGATAAAACAGAGGCGTTCCATCGGGACCACAAGAAAGTGGTCTTTAATTGGAGGTGGTCTCTCATTGGAGGGGTCTTTCATTGGAGGGAGACCTGTATTCATAATAAAACATAGAGATTTCACGATATAGCGTGATGCGAGTCTTAGTAGCCTATAGTATAAAATTATTAACATCAAGGTTACTATTTTTAGATGAACATGTGAGACTCTTTTCAATATCGCCAATTCAAGTCATTTAAAATTGAGTGCGTGAAATACAATAATATTCCTGATGATGACATAATTGACGTCGAAATAGTTTGTCTTCTTTAATTGAGTTTTCTGTATTACACAAATAATTGCTAAAATGCTCACAATCAAGATTTCGATGATAAGTATTTCATCCGAAAACGTTTGGGATCGTCTTTATATTGGTTTTCAAATGATAAAACATAATCTGATTTGGATTTTCGAATTTTACTCGACGCATTTGTTTCTAAGTGAATGATATTTATTAAAATGTGTTGGACGATGACGATTATGATGATACGATGATGATGATAAGATGATGAGGATGATGATGGTGATGATGATGTATGATAACTTAGTTACAACATGGGGTGGGGGTGAACAATTAACAGCGGCATTGACAATTTATATAGAAAAAATGGCCCAGTATGTAATTTGCTTGTAATGGACAGAGAAAAAGAAACGTTTAGTTTGGTCATATTACCAAGCCCAGCTAACAGCTAGTTGCTGTTAATTTACCAGAACCTTTCCTTGTATAATTATAAATAGGTTTTTAAAAACTTATTTTTTGACGGCATAACGTTTAAAACGTTGCTACATACGACGTTGTGATAACGGTCCTTTTTTTTGCATAACCTAAACACAACATTCATTACTTTGGTGAATGTTATAATAACGTCTTGTGTTTGCTGGGAAGAAATAAAGTTGAGCAGGTGGTGCTGTTTTAATTACCTGCGGAGGCAGTAACTGTGTTTGGCAGTGAGTTCGATAAAAACTAAAGTTAGGCCTGAGGCAAAATCAAAATTTAGTTTCCTTCAGTTCTGTATTAATCGATGCGAAATGTGAAGCTGTTGTTCCGTAAGAAATTTGATATAAGAGATTGTACACTTCACTATCTAACACACGTATCACGTGGTCTTCTAATTATGCAAAATAGTGATACAATGAAGCCCCATTTCAAATTTGTGGATCGGTTACATTTATATACACTGTATGACATTAATACAACTCGCATATGATCTTTGCTGTTGTAAATGGCTTTGTTTATTGGCCGTCTCACTTATAATGGGCCTTTCCGGTGTGTCAATCAAATTTAACAACTGACTAATCAGGACAGCGCTAGGAATACGAGCGCGTCTCACAAGCACACGTGTTGTTTCACAAACGCACGTTTTCGCGTGTGTTTTAACACTGCCGTCTCGTTGGACCTTAGTAACAGTATCCAAGGGGCGGGGCTTAGCGGAAGGTCCATTGGAAGATTTGTTTTCATCATATTAGGCCTATTTATATTTTTGTTGAACGTAAAAACGTATAACCCAGTAAATGAACCGTTTTTTCTAATTGTTTTGTTATGCCTTATTTAAGAACATTTAAAGACCAGTTTACTTTCTTATTATTGCACTTTCATAATAATTTTATTTATATGTATAACAAATAGGACCATTTTGGTCCTATTATAATTGATTATTGATGCACCGTATCACCAAATGTAGCCTAACAATTTGTACTTAGGTCAGCCGATTCATTATCATCATAAACGCAGCGTTAAATATTATCATTACTTCCTTTTTAAAAATACATTTAGAATAATGTCTTAATTCATAAAAAAAAAAATAGGCAATATCCGTCAGAAGCGTGTATAATATTATCGAAATCTTATATTGACAGTAGTAGTAGTAGTAGTAGTAGTAGTAGTAGTAGTAGTAGTAGTAGTAGTAGTAGTAGTAGTAGTAGTAGTATTGACTGAAATACTTTAAAGTCACCTAACTGGCTGGTTATTGAAAAATATTAAAATGGAAATAAATTTTTCCACGGTTATTAGGTATATTCCGGTCTGTTAGAATGGCATTGACTTGATTGAAAAGCACAAATAATATCTACTAGTACTACTACGACTACTACTACTACTACTACTACTTTAATTATTTTTTTACAGCGCAAATTACATATCAATGTTAAAAATCAAATGCGCTTTTGACTGAACGCTATGACGTTTCCTTAAAAATATTCATCATCATCATCATCATCATCATCGTCGTCATCATCATCATCATCATCATCATCATCATCAAAACCATCACCATCATCATTATCACCAGCTTGGTTTTAAATTTAATTTTTAATCGTATTATTATTTAATATTCACAATGGTAATCAATAGAGTAAAAACCGGAATTATTTACAAACTAAACTTATTACATTATAAAGTCATAGAAATAACATCAAAATTCCGGACAATACTCGGGAACATCAAAATATAATAGACACAGCCAAATGTATCATATTAATTTTGATAAATGGCAATGCATTACTGTAATTTAATTAACAGATACAGCGATACTTACCAATATCATTCTGCGATTTATAGCTCGTCACGAAATATACAAATACGCATATCACTAATAAAATCAAGGACGAACCATACCCCTGACCGTAACATTGACCACAAAACTAACAAAAACATTGACCACAGCCAAGCGCGTTGTTCCTAGTTAAATATCTACTCTGAATGTGCTGATTATCAAAAGTAATATTTTGATATTAGCATAGACATTCCCCCGGATCATACGTATCAGTGAATCCTATTTAGCATGTTATATTTTCAGCGGTTTTAAACTCAGTTGATTGACGTGATGCATTCATGAAAGAATAATTAATCTTAGAATCAAGAAGAATGCTGCTGCACCGCTCAGCTCAATCAACCACCAATGGAGCATCCAATCTAATAACTCATGTGTGTCACAATGATCTATTTAAGGTAATTTACTACAATATTGATCTTATCTACGTTATTCCTCTCTTACTGTTATATAAAATCATTGAGTTATAAACTTTAAAATAAATATTTTTTAACTACAAGTGCACAGAATAACAATTTTGGAGATAAATAACTGCCTAAATTTCAAATTTCATCAAAATACGAATAGGCCTAATAGTCAATTTTATCTAGTGTTCAGAAGTAAAATTTATATGAAAAATTTCATCAAAACAAAATTAGAGTCACATACCTTGGTACAGAATAACTATTTTTTGAGTTAAACAACCTAAATTTCAAATTTCATTAAAATGCGGATAATAGCCACCTTTATCTAGTGTTCCGTGAGTCAAAATTATTAGACGAATTTCATCAAAGCGAAATTAAAATCATATCTTTTTGTCAATAGATTTTATTACAAAGCACAGCATATAAGTCAAAATCTATAATACACCTAATGGATATAACTTTAGTATAATTTTAATACACATAAATTGAAAAATAAGAATACCATTTCGTGCAAATCGAAAATTAAATCATCGTCATACATCGCCACCAAATTTGCGTGACAGTACCATATCAAGTGGCTTCGCCTGCATTATTTTAGCTATAAACTTGTGATAATTTCGGACGCTATAATTCACAATAACATGTAGTTTGTTAGAAAATTTAGCACTAAGAACGGTATAGCTTGACAGTTATTATGTTAGGTTAACTTATTTATTTTGTTTCACAATATCCAAAAATGAAAACTCCGATTAGGCCTATATGGTACTATCTAAATGTCCATATGATTAAACACATTTTAAATCTTACTAAACTTATGGAATTAAGCACAATGCGATTATACATTTTATTGCTACACTCGAATGTAAAAACTACAAAAATTTATTAGAACACCTAGCATGAAGTGCCACAGCGCTAACCACTATATTAGCTGTACGAGTGAACATCTATGAAGTGTTAATTTAGCAATGTTAATTCTCTAAATTAATAAAAGAAGAACATAAAAAAATATGTAATTCTTAAGACTTCACCCCGGTAAATACAAAGTCCATAAACATTTTATATTTATCTAAGATAAATATTTAAAAATTAATACCGTAATCAATAGGCCTATTAAAGATAGATTTACATTTAGGCCTACTGTAACTCGGAAAAACTGATTTCCACTTAAGTTGTTATACAAAACTAATTTTCATTACATTAACTCCTATAGAACGCAGGACTAATTCGAGGTTTTACGATATATATA